AGAGTGGCATACATTTTCTCATGCAATTCTCTGCGACAAAGTGGAAGTGGAAGTGGAAGAGTCAACATGCAGTTACTTTAGGTAAACAGACCACAAAGGAACATTGCCTTCCTCTAAATTAATCTAAGAAATACGTCCTTCACAATAAGCTGCCATGGTTGTTTTTCCTAACAAAGAATGATGATCAAATTACTGTAACATTACTGCTTTTCACTCCACATACTACCTGCGATAAATGTGCTTCAAGTAAATGAGAGTCTAGCATTGGAGGGAACTGTCAACCTTATTCCAGTAAGGAAGACACAATGCTCACTTGGCAGCCATGGAAGTCATCATAAGACAGCGAGAGAGCGAGGGAGGGACGAGAGCTGAGGAGAGGGTACTTCTGGAACATTAAGACCCCAGAGTAAACCTGGAATCCCTAACACAGCTAAACGCTAGGCGGATTACTGCTTTATCACACTCAAGCAGGCACACTGTGCTGAACATAATCTCGCAATTCCTTGGGAATCAACATCTCAACTGTAAATTAATCCCCAAATATGGCAGGAGTTTCTTACTCGAGCATGTCCATCCCAAATGACTCGGGAAGCGTGTCCAAACAATACAGCATGTGCATTTTGGTGCGTAAAACTCTCTTAATCTTGAGAAACTTCACTGACGGGGGTTGTGGCTGAGAGACATGATGATTTGTTTATGAGAAAATCTGTGCTTTTGAGGAGGTTTTATGAATTTTAGTGAACATTAATGGTTTGTTAATTACAGATGACAGCGCTAGCATCAGTCATCCTTTTTCCAAGTGTGTCTTTAAAATGTTGGCTGCAGCTTTGATGCTACTATCACTGGCAATGGAAAATAACAGCAAATTAACAACTATCAGTAATGAATAATGCCTGATAGTTCATAAAGCCTCAAACCAGTTCAGTAAGGGTTTGAACTGTAGTTGAATCCCTGCTAGAATGTTTCTGCATATTAGCAAGTAATTATGGAGGCATACCTTAATAAATTATTACTGTGTAAGAAACTGCAAAAGCTGACTTCATAGTTGCATTCATGTTAAACCATACAACTTCTACATTAATGGAAAGGGCCACAGCCAGTGGCAGTGACAGTCCAAAACTAAAGTCTATATGATTTTGATATATTTCATATTTGTTTATTCAGTTTCCCGTTCACTAATATTTTCTGTACATTGTATGTACATCTTAAAGGTGTTTCTCCACACTGCCAGGACAGCACTTAAGGCCTAAAAGTAATAATATTGACTTGTAAATTTAAATATACTGAATCTAAAAAAGCTGGAATCAAAATAAAGTTAATAAATGTATATGTTATTCCATACATGCAGACAGATGGCTCGTTGACCTATAGGGTTCAAGCGACATTCTTTCTGATGTGCTTTGATTAAAACTGCATACAGTGTGTCTGCAAAGTATATACAGCACACTATATTTGCCCATCAACATAAACTGCTTTAATACAGTGTAGCTTTGGATGTTTGTCCAAATGCCCTATGAAGAACTACTCTTATTTGGCATCATGCCACTTGGTATTTGGTTTATATCCAACAGACTAATTTTGTGCCTGAAAACATTACTAAAACAGTCAACTGTTGGTTTTGTACACTGTCTACAGTTATTAAGTTATTGCACATTGCTGCAATACATTAAAAATGAGGAATGATGGAGCCTATGTGGACACAAAAACCAGAGGTATTTGTGAATGAACGTGTGATGGTGTGAACAAGAGGCTTGGAATTAATGAATGCGTGTCTGGGGATGATGGCAAGAGATGCCACCTACTGTCCCTAGTGTACATTTCAACCGTCACAGAGACGGTGGTTGGTCTTAATTTAGCAATGAGCTGCTGAGCAAGAGGGGGGGGGGCTTCAAAATCCAGCCACCAATCAGGAATAGACACTTGTGTATTAACTGTATTGCTGGAGTGACGGCCAACAAGAGTCGGAGGAGACAAATTCAACCGGTTATGTCATTATTAGTGCTATAATAACTGTTAATAACACAGAATAGTCAATATTTAGAGTGAAATACTTATACACACACACACACACACAGGGCCCAATGCGTAAAAAACAAAGTACAAACTTTATTATTCTGTCTTTACAAAGGCACAAGCCTCTTTATCCCCAAAACATTTCTCTTAAAAAAAAACCAACAACAACAAAAACAAAATAGCTTCTTGATGACCATATGCATCGACAGGTCTAACAAAAAAAGTTACAGAGAACAGACAAAAGGAGAAGAGGGAGCTGAAAAATGTAAAGGGAGACAAGAGATACTGACAATAAAACAAAGACAGCATACAAGATTTTGCAAATAAACAAAGAAGATGTGAGGGGCAAATGGGACAAGATGTAGGAGGACTGGACATGGAGGGAAAGGGGGATACACAGCTGTGCGGTTTTTACTCATAACCTCAAGAGCTTCAGCTGAGGAGATGCCCCTTCATACAAAAGAAAGAGGCAGACTCCAGTATAGTACAGTAAGTGCTTTGTAATCTTGACCCCATTAATCATCCCCAGGCCCACCCCACTCATCTGACAATCTGATATGTCCACGTAACATTTTCTAAACACACAGAATAGTGTAAAACAGATGGCAATTCTGGGATTCAGCAGAAAACTATCAAATGCAGATACTCAAGGAAAAAGCAAGGGATCTACAAAAAGCAGAGCTTGCAACTCACGTTTTCAATATTCAGGAATTCCCCTTTCCTATAGTGATAAGTACTGGAAAAACGTCCCATGATTTAATTTGACAGACGCGTCACTTATTTCAGTGCAGCTGACATCAATATATTTTTTTAAAGGGCTGTTTTCCATGACATGAATCATGATAGATGAGGTGTGTTCAACTGAACACTTATCTGTCCAGCAGTTCAAAGCTCCATCTATGCATTGATGCAGGGGATTCTAATAATGAGTTTGTCACTAAACGCAATTATAAAATAGCAGTGATGTGTCAAAAGCCCTAAATGGAACTATAATATCTAAATATACCAGGTTTAACTTTTGAACATTTTATGGAATGTCAACATTTCATTGTGGATATTTCCCCCCCACACACACATCTGGCTTTAATAGTGCACACAAAGGGGCCAAAACAGTTGCAAATCTACATGTAAATCTTAAGGGGGGGGGAAACATCAGGAGTGCTTGTAATTAATATACCGGCAACCTGTTCGTCTTTGAGGCAAACATGACACAAAGGAACATAACAGACAAAATAACTGGGAATATACAGTATATTCTAACACGCCCCGGGTGTTTACAAGTTTGTTTAGAAGGATTCCAGTGGCCACCGAACGGCCCAGATCAAGTGTTCAGGTACGTCTCATAGACCCCAGGGCTGTGGTAAGGCTGGCTTCACAGTGCTTCCCTGCACCCACGGGCTATTAGTAAGGCGAGCTACTGCCTCCCTCAGCTACATGTCTTAATGTCCGTCAACCAACAATTCCAGGCAAAAAAAAGAGCACAATTAAAGTATGATCTTAGCAGAAACGTGTAAATAGCATGGTACGCTAGACAAAAAGCGCACTAAAGGACAAATGACTTATGTAAGGAAATGCATAGAGCATGTGTGGTCAACCCAGTCCTCTCCATGGCACATTCAGACAATTTCACTGGGCATTTTCCTTGTACTTGAAGTCTACTCTGCTTTGATAGATGTCCCAACATTTGCACAATACACTACACTGTTATGGGCTACCAGCTAACCAGCCCTTAAGATTGAGCAAACAAGTGATTGTATGTCAGTTGTATTTGTATGTGTGAGTGCTATGCGCACATACATGTGTGCCTCTGTCTCAAGGCAAAAGTGGTGCTGCTGCAGACTGCCAGAGTCTGGGACACCGCTGAGCCCTGCTGATTCAAAACGCTAAAAGGGACACATACACACACACACACACACACCAGTGGAAATCACTCCAAGAGTGTCCACAGATTAGCTTATTTAAAAAGCCAGGTGCTTTTATATTAAGAGGGGCGGGTGTCAAGAAATGTCAAAGCACTGATTTTTTTTTTTTTTTTTTTTTTGTCAGCCATGAGAAAAAAGAAAAACATGCCCAAGTACCACATGTGGGATTGACTGGAACCCGCCCAGTAAAAAATGGCAACAAACAAACAAAAAAGAAAGAGTTGTGAACCAGTAAGCCGACACCTCTACTCCACGAGGCTTCGCTATCTCCTCGGTGAGCAAGTCAGTTTATGGAAAAACCAGCCTTTTTTTTTCCAGTAACAATCTTTTACACTTGCTGGCTGAGGGAGCCTTAGAGAAACAGAACATGAAAAAGTAGATGCTTCACAAGGTAGTCAAGAAAATATACGATTTCACTCCGGGAAGCCTAAAAGGTGGAACTTCTGAGACCAGTTCTTGGGTCAGCCTCACCAGTGTGCCTCTCCAACCAGATCAGAGAAGGAGGGTTTAAGATGTTCATCTTAAGACGAAAAAAATGCTCTTGGTGTGTTGGGTGACGATGACGCCACACTGCCTGCTCTCATTGGACTTTGTCTCCCATTTCGGGTGGATCACTCACATGGCTCCAGGGCCAACAATAAAAGAACAGGTTCCATGATTAAAGGTGATGTTTGAGCAGACATTCGAAATTCTCAGGTATCCCATGTACCTCGAGGGAGCATACATAGTCAACGTGAAGTAGTCTATTTAATACCTTGTTAGGATTAGATGAACAGACAGTTAGGTTGTGTGTGAGAGTGGAGTGAGAGAAGCAGGGGCTACGAGATAAGCAGACGAAAAGATGCAGAAGGACGGCGATGCGTAATGAGTGTCTAACGGTCGTAAACCTATCCAGGGTGCCTTATCCACGGTACAGAGATGTAATAGAGTGGTGTCTGAAAAGAAAATTTAGAAGGCGAGATCATAATGAGAAACGAGTGCTTCAGTGTGGCTAGCCAGCCCTTTAATGTGCTCCAGACTTGAAGTGCGGTGTGCGTGCTTGTAGCCTCCGGTTGTGAGCCCGGTCTTGCATTGGCCTTTATTGTGTCGTAAGTGGTGTGTCTGTGTATGTGTGTATGTAAGTGCGCGGCGTGCGACACGTCAGGGATGAACTCAGGGCAGTGAACAGTCGTCAGGCCCGTCGCTGTTTGAGGCCGTGTCTGAGCCTGCTGCGTCAGAGAGGACGCGACCTGAAGTGACGATGACCGCTCTCCGCTGCTCTTCCTCGCCGGCGCCACCCTTCCCCTGGGTGCCCTCGATGTGCTGGATCGCCTGGAGGAAGAGAAAGGGGAGGTAAGTGATGTCAGTGGCAACAGCACCCTCTAGTGCTCGGATCTGAATAACCCTTCCAGCTTTAAGTCTGCTGTAGACTACTGTTTATCTGGGTCTTACTTGAACGATGGTGTCCAGGTTCTGTCGAGATGTGGATACTGTATTGATAACTGATGCCGGGCCCATTGTTACCACGGTGACATGATGGGGCAGGGGAGGCTGGACAGGCGCTGGGACGATGACCGTGGCGTGGTGTGTAGGTGCAGGGGGGGTAGCCGGTGCCATCACCTAGAGGAAAGGAGCAATTATTATTATTCTCATGTCACCACTTAAGTGATAGCAGATCATAATGGTAAAGTAGTGTTAAATGGTATCCAGACAAACCTATATATATATATATATATATACAAACATGCTAAAACAGCACATATACAGGCAGTTAAACACACACAGTTGGGAATACAGCTAGGCAGCATGAATATTAACCGGGCCAGATGTTAGGAATCTTTCATCAACCTAAATTTCTCATGTCCATATGTTTGGGGAGAGCTTTTTCTTGCTGTGTTTTGAGCTGCCTCTAAAAAAACAAGTTTATTGGGGAGCTAGTTTGTAGGTTTTCTCCTAACATGGCGCATGTAAGAGGTACTCAGATTTCTTATAAGAGTGCAACTTACAGATCAATATGAGCTTGACCAAAAAACGGAGCACACATCCCACAGTGGTTCCAAAAAACAAGTGTGACAACATAGCTTGAAATATACCAGACCTGTCAGGCCGCCCAATATGCTGTTAACTTAAATGTTAATTAAAAGCTGCTTGTTTTTCTATTTATTATTTTGCTGTATTAAAAGAGAATTCAAGATAAGTTATAAAGAAAAGTCAATTTTTGACCGTTGAAATAAATCTTAACTTTCCTTTATTTGACAGTATATTGACACCAGTATTAAAACAGATCTAGTTTTTAGTTCATGGGGCCATGATCGTAATAAAAAAGAAAATATATATTTAAATAAGAGTTCATTTCTGGGCGCCCGGTTAGCTCAGTAGGTAGAGCTGGCGACCCATGTACCAAGGCTGAATCCGACCTGCGTCCCTTTGCTGCGTGTCATCCCGTCTCTCTGCCCCCTTTCCTGTCTGTCTCCAGCTGTCCTATCAAATAAAGGCATATAAGCCGAAAAAAAAATTATATATATAAAAAAAAAAAAATAGGAGTTCATTTCCAGTCATTTATTGTCACTGAGTTAATTTTGTCAATTCACAGTAATATTGATTTGAGGTCGTATCGCTCAGCACTGCTTGGGGAGTCAGGAAGTGTCACATGACTGATCCAGAGTGTATCAATCATCTTTCACTCCCAGCGCCCAGCTGCCACAAGTAGTGGACGGGCAGACAGCACTTGCCAATTGATTTGGCGTCATGTTCGGTTAGGGTGAGCCTGCGGAAAGAGGATACTGCGGCTCTCAGGACAGGAGACAGGCACAACAGAAAGATGTGTGAGCTGCTCATTTAACACACTGTAAATGTGTCTTAGCTGTTGACAGCTCTAACTCCAGACATAAAAGAGACTGTCATGTGTGACTGTCAGTGTGGCATCTATAGTACATCGTGAGATTAGTTCAGGTGTGTGTGTGTGTGTGTACGTGTACGTGTCTTATGCATATGTGCAATATGCTTCAACGTGATTGACTCAAGTCTATAACATTTTACAGCTACACATGGAAGGAAGGATGGAAATTTGCTGCCAGCTCCCTGATGAATTTAGGCTAATGACCCCAAAATAAACACTGGTTTTCTAAATATACTGAGCTGTATAAATGGTTGGAAATGGTTTAAAATAGATGTTTCAAAATCTCTCTAAATGTTAGAAAGCATGTGTGTGGAGTGCCACCAGGAAACTGTAATATATTAGAGTTATGCCTAACAAAAGAAAAAACGGTTTTGCTGTCATCATCAAAAGAGCCATGATCCATAGACAGATCCAATTTCTACATCTATTTTACATCGTATTTAATGAGAATACTTAAGATCTAAATTTGACAACTGGCCTTAACAGTCCTAGAGACATCCCTATGTCAAATGTATTTTGTTAAAGCCTGAACTGGACTTTACATTAAACTTAGGGAAGTGCACCAGTTACAAAAAAAAACAACTCATAATTCATCAGCTCATAATTCTCAAAAGGATTACACTGTTTATTTGTGAGTCAGACTCATATGTAAATGTGTCCAACCTGTGGGCTGTGGGCTGAAGAAAGGTCCCTCTCCAGCTGCTTGTGCTGCTGCAGACTAACGAGGCTCTGTGTTTGGGCCTGCTGATCCTGGACCTGCTGGGCGATCACCTTCAGTTTCTCTGGGTACATCTGAGCATCGAGGGAACGCATCTGCCACACAGGGCAGGGGATGAAAGTGCGAGTTAGCTGCTGAAAACTATGATGGACTTACGGCTTTTAAATTGTGTTCTGTTTCGTGGCTGACGCTTACCTGATCTTCCAGCATCATCCTGACCGAGCGCTCTTTCTCCAGCTGCTGCCTTAACTCAATCATCTCCCTCCTCAAGTCCTCAGTCTTCTCCTCCTCCAGGATGTCTGGTGAGCCAATCCCTTCATCTTTCTCCTCAGCACGCCTCCTCTTAGGGGAGGAACCACTCAACTCCTAGGGAGAACAAACAGAAATTGGATAGCCGTGTTAGATGAATGCTAAAAACTGATGACACTGAAAGAGAGAAAAGCCTGATAGTGGTTCGGTGATGCTTTACTTGTATGATTCGTTTGAGCTGACTGTTCTGCTGCAATAGCCGCGTCTTCTCCTGCTCCAAAGTAAAAATGTACTCTGCTGTCTGTTGCAGGATGGCAGCCTGGGGAAAAGAGAAGAAGAGTAATGTTACATATTTGTTATGAAGGTGAGTTCAGACCCTCACAGCTACATCTAACTCATCACCTAGTCTCTCTTTGTGACCCACCTTACTGAGCTTCTCTCCATCGCTGTGTGGGATGAGTGTTTTAAGTGACTGGAATCCAGCATTGATGCTCTGCATACGCCGACGCTCGTTGCTGTTGGCAATCTCTCTGCGAATTCGCCTCTCTTGGTCCCGGGCTGTTTCTGGGGTCAGAGGAATGTTGGCCAGACTACAGGGGGAGTCATAGGGGGAGAATAGCAGTGAGTTGGACATAGGAGGAAAGTAAAACATACACTTTCAGCGATATCTTTACCATAGCAATAGAACCACAGAAAATTACTTTTTTTTTCTTCTATGAGGGAATCATTCAATACAATGAAACAAAAACATCACCGATAATGTACCAAATGCTAACGTGTAATTAAGATCTAGTTACAAGTCAATGGCAAATAAGTACAAGCTACCTTAATTTATATAAGTGTATGGTCCTAAAAATCTGTTTTTTACTCCCACTTCTGTTAGTCAATAGGCGTAAAGTTGTTTTCCACCAAGAGTACAGTATTCCTGTGATCACAAGCCTCTCTAACCCGACATGCAATATGTCTTGTGCCTTCATATGCTGTTGCTATAGGAGATTAGAGCATTTCTGCGGTTGTCTTTGCTCTTTGACTGCAAGGAAGTTCACTGGAAATACTTGATTGTAATGAGGTTTCGGCAGAATAAGACTATCAGCATGGATATACACAACTTATAGTGAGCGAGAAAACATGTATGTTTTTAGGATTTGGATGAATTGACCCTTTAATAATGTTATTTACCATCACATCAACGCAAAACAGCCAAATGGACTAATAAATGCAAAATACATTGCTGTTTTTACACCGGTATTTAGAGTACATCTGTTCATCAATGACGCATCAATGGCTACTTTGCTGTTACTACTTATCTGTGGCAATGGTTAGTTGTGTTTTGTGTTTAAACCCCTGACTGCCGGCATTTGAATCTTCCACTCTCAACACTCAGAATACTCAAAAAGCAGTGCTATGATATTGAATGTTATGGGGACTGTGATACAAATGCAGACCATACGGTTCTGACTGGATATGAGTTTTTTTACTCAGATTTTATGCATACGGTGCTGTATTCTTTATACTATGACTGTTACGATTTTAAAATCACACCCGTGTATTGTGATACGTGTAATTAATTGCCTGGCTCTTGCTAATACAAAGCCCTATTTTCTGTATGTACAATAACAGGAGTTCAACCTCATATTACCCTGCATCCACCTTGCGGAAGCATCTTTGCACAGAATGGGATTGATGAGATTGCTCTTCTAACCCTGTGCCATTTTCGGAACAGGAGTGAGTTAAAGAGTCACATTAATATGCATGCTATGCAATCCAAATTATTATTCTGAAAGGTCTTTCAGGGTGAGAATGTTTCCCACCATTGAAGCAGTACTGACATTTCTCAGGAGGCCTCACAAGCACCACACACACATCTTTTCAGTGGTACCATTAATGGTAACTCCAGTTGGCTGTTTCTCTGATATGTAATTAGAGCAACACCAAGTTTGTTAATATTTCTACCATAAACCCGTGGTGAAAGGACACAATATGCCATATGTTGTAATTCAGTTGAGGGGAAATTCTAGGCGAACTTCCTCTAACATCCTCTATATCAAGTTCAGTATCTCTGGGACCCTCTCTAGCCAAGCTCTTATCTGTACTGACTCAGCTGCCTCAGTGCAAACACTGGGAACAATTGTGCAGACACAGATGAGAAAAGGAGTGTGTGTGGACACACACACACACACACACACACACACACACACACCAACACTGCAGCAGCACATTCAGCAAACACATCAACTGCCAAAACATAACCAACTGGGCCTGGACTTCACCATATCACACAAACACAAACCACTACAGAGGAACAGACTAAGTCCTAATTACAGTGGATTAAAGCTTATTTAGGAGTTTTAAGTATCAGGCAACTAAATAGAGCTGAACCAATTGGTCGATTAATTGATTCATGATTCAAATCAGAAGAATATTAAAATAATAAATCTATTTTCAAGAAAAAAGTCAAACATTTAATGTTTCAGCTTCTCTCATGTGACAATTAGTTGCTTTTCTTGTCTGAAAAAATATGTGTTTGGGTTTTAAACAACACAGCTACACAGATATTTTAAGATATCACTTTGGATGGTGTAGTATATTTTTTCACTATTTTCTGACATTTATAGACCAAATGCATATTAATAATAATAATAATAATAATAATTAGAATAATCACTAATTGTGGGACAAAAAGCAGGTAATCAGACTTTATTTATATTAATAGTTAAAATAGTAACACAGCTGAAAATACATGTTTAATTGTAAGACACATAAGTGTACTTATAATAGTTATATAGCCTCTAATATGTACTAAATGCGTGTTTTTCATTAATCCTAAATCTCACAAGAATTTGAAGTTGTAGTTAAATTGGAGTAAATCTTCCGCAGACTCATAACGAGGAATATATAAAAAATAACATAAATAAAAGAGGACTACATTTCCCAGACTGCCTGTGTCACCACCAGCAGCAACAGCAGCAGATCCCTCCGCCTCCCTCTTCAAACAGGGCTGCGGACGTATCGACGGGCCTTCCGCGACATACACACCCCCTTATTAATAACACCACTTTTAATTTTCCTGCCTCCCCGCGAACGCCAAATGTGCCTTCACCGGACACATGGGAGGAAATTAAATCTTTAAACAGGCCAGATTAACCCCCTTCGTCTTGTCCCCACAGTGCCCGACACCAATCCGTGTTCCAAGCAGACTTTTCGTGTCCTCCGCCATTATAACAATGCGGCAGGCAGCATGGCAGAGGTGCGGGATGAAAAAGACGCAGTGGAGGCGACTCGGTAGCGCGAACAAGACGCACGGAAACACCTTTAAAACTATCGCCGCGTCGAATGGGGGCGATTATTGACAGCAGCTGCACATTTTCACACTAAAAGTAAACGAATATAGGGCGCCACGAACAGGAAACAAACGCCAGACCCCCCACCTCCCCCTCCTTCATCACTTTAAGCACAAGCCACAAGCATGGCCGCACTACCCACAATAACTTCAGATCGCTCTGAGCGAAATCGGCAGACCCCGGCCACGGTGTGTGCGGCAAAAATAGACCCCTTTCACACCGTCTGACACTGGCTCGCACACCCTTTGTCTTTCTTACGCAAATCACAGGACCTATAGGTGACACTGGGGGGTAATTTGAGGATAAATGGGGCAGGGGATGCGCTCCGGAGCTGGGGTAGCAGCGTGGTGTGTGCACGGAACCACGTGGTTTATGTTTGTTAGCCACATATTACATCGATTTCGCAGCCAAATGTGCGAAATAACACAACGCGGATGGTGCTGTGGTCCGAGCCGGAGTCCCCACTTGCTCGGACGCGTTGTAATTTCTGTGTTTGGTGGTGATTTATGCCCGCAGTTTCTCTCCCCCCCCCTTTAAAAGACATCATTTTAGCACAAAAAAAAACCAACAACAAACAAATAGATTGCACCTTAACAGCAAAGACTGAATAAATAAAGAGCGGGCTACTATAGGGCGGTACTCACCACAGCTGCGATAAGCGGACAAGAGGGACTCAGCTGACGGGTTGGCCAGAGCTGCACAGCAACAGCGCACCGAGGGCTTTTTTA